CAAATCTGAAATGACTTAACAACTATGAGTCAGGATTGAAACTGCCTTTTAAGGCGATAAATAAAAAATTCTTTGGCATGCAGGCTGCATAACCTTAAATATACAAATGCTAAAGGTGCATTCTAGTTCAGTCAGTTTGAGCTATGTGCAGATATACAGAAAAAAAAAGGCCGGTGAAAGGTTGTTTACATCAGTGTCTGCTAGTGACTGAAAATATACGGGGGTTTCCGCCGGACAGGGAGTGATGTCATCAGCTCACGATGCATGCAAGCCTGCTTAAGCGAAGCATTACAGAAGCAAAGTTCAGGTCTTTCTGGTCCTCATTGCCAAAACTGAATCTGCACTAGAAGCCACCGAAACTACCTGCTGTTTAAAAATGGATGTGAAAACAATGCTGTTCATTTACATTCTTCTGCAGGGATTTTTTTTATTTTTTTTGCCTCCACTTTCCCCTCTCAGCCCTTTTTTTTTTTTGCTATTTACCGAGCCGTCCTTCCCCCGACAAGCCCGGCAGATTAAGGGGATATGTTACCATCTTGTTTTTTTTCTAAATGGCTACACATGTGGCACATCTGGGTCCAAGCCTGACTCATTACTCACTTTTTTTTTATGTTCCATTCTCTGCAGCCATGGCAACTGCTGCATGTTTGGCAGAAAGCTTTTGAAGGCAGTGGAAAAAGAGAGAGGGAGAGAGAGAGAGGGAGAGCTCAGGGAGGGAGCATAAAGGGAGAGAGAGGGAGGGAGGGAGGTGAGGGAGGGAGAGCTCTCAGTAGTTGGCCTACATCCAGTGTAATCATGCCATGGAGCTGAAATGAGGCCTTTGGCAGCACACCAGGTTTCTGAGAACAAAGATGTGAGCTTCTAATGTTGGCGGTGGGGCCTGCTTGGCATCCTTTGCCATTTCCCAGCAGCCCTTGCCTTGGCTGACTGCCAGCGCTCCCCTCCCCACCCCCTCCTCCCTCCCTCCCTTCCCCTGCTGGGACTGCAAAGAGGATCAGAATAAAGAGAGAGACTTGTTTTTCACTCGCCTCTTGCTCTGGCCCAATGACATCACCTCTGCAGCCTCCAGCCCCCAGATTCCAGCCGCCCAGCACATTTTTCCCTTTCGCCGCCGACCCTCCATTTTATTTGAATTCCACCATTTTATACCTATATCAAAGATGACTCCTCAGGATGTCTAATTTTTGTTGTTTTTTATTTTGTTTTGTTTTAATTGTGATCCTTTTGTCCCCGCACTGCACATAAAAATCACCGGATGTTGAAATCAGAATATCAATAAAAACATATTCAGACTAACCCTTCATTGAAAAACAGGAAGCGGCTAATGAGGCAGATGGATGCTCATTATCTTTCAGAGCTCACCAAATTTTATCTGAGCTCTAATCCTTGCAGTGCAAAACTGTGGCTAAAAATAGCACCGTAAACAGGATATATATGGTAGTTGGGGTACTGTGATAATCTCCATGGTTACGTCTCCCTGCTATAAACACAGGAACTCTGTAAATCATTGGTCCCTTACATTTACTCTCCTTATATATTCCAGCCTTTACCGCTTCTCTGTAGCTATTAATCTCCAAGTCTGGTCACTGTTTAACATCGGTAGCGTGGCCTCACACTGTCCTGTTGTAACCTCCTTTCTGTGTCGGCGCAACATGTTACAGTTTAGTCCAATGCACCCTTCAGCAGTTGTTCTACAAAGGTTATATAACATATATGTCGGTGGGGGAGAAACGCAGGAAAAAGACACGGAAAAAACATCCAGCGCTGTGCTCCACTCAGGCAGAAAAACTTCACAGAGAATTTGTAATGATTCGCCTCCATGAATAAAAGATGGCCAATATAAAATTTAACAGGCTCAGAAAGCGATAAAACAAAAAATAACGTCATCTCATCAGGCCCACGATGCTGTCACATGCTGGGTATTCCCCTGGCCGTCACCTACATCTCACTCTTTATTTAGCTGCTTTACGTCTCAATTTACATACTGCTTAAGGAAAAAAAAAAAAGAGAAGTTCAACACTGCTTTTACACAGCTACTCCATCTGGTTTAGTGGTGAGACTCAAATGAGATGGCCACCAAGCCGGGTCACACTGTGGTGATTTTACTGTATACATGGTTCATATTGGCAATCAGAGCCATCTGTGAACGTCAGGCTTCCTCTCAGACCTTTGTTGCCTCTGCTCAGTACAACTCTGCCTTTGCTTTGTAGCTACTGCAGCATTTAAAAAAAAAAAAAAAAATGAGTGGATCTTCTTATTATAGAATCAGGTCATTTAGGATTTAATCTCAGCGTGCCTCCGTCTTGCATAATAGCTGCTTGGCCATGCAGCTATTTTCTTGCACAAACATCGACTGAGTGGAAACGAAAAGGGATCAAAGCATTAAGCAACCGTTTCCCACCAATCTCAAGGAAAGAATTTGTTTAGTTTGCCCCCTCGCAACAGTCATTTCCTAACCGTGTCATAAAGCCTAACAGCACTTCCTAGTGTTGTTCGCCCGACAAGGACCGAGGTTTGAGAGAAAGCAGCGATGGGAAAACAACGTACTAATACAGTAGTTTGCAGTCAGGACACTAAACCTTGTGACGTCCCTGAACGCTGGAAGGGGGAAATATCATTGTGTAGCACTTCTAGGTGACGCTCATTCATACAAAATCATATGGCTACTGCACTGCAATTATACGGTGGTAACAGATCAGCTACATAAGTGGCTTATTTTGTTGATGGAAACCCTTTGAAGGAAACAAGCCTCATGCCACAGTGCATGATCATGGCCGCAGGCAGGGAGCCAAATGGCCTGATGTTCCGTAGATGGGTGAGGCGGATGAGGGTACGTGACTAAACATCTTGCTTCCTCTTTCCAACGTCACATGGACTTGCACAAACATATCCTGCTTTGTGTCTGCAGGTTTCAGACGCATTGCCTCACCCAAAGCCCGAGGCTAAGCTGCAATGAGTTGGAATGAGCCCAGATGAGAGGGAGGAATCTGAACTACTGGGACACTCCTCCAGTTCAAACCTACACTTTAACTTCAGGGGATTTTGGCTGGGCTTTTGGTATATGACCTGTTTCTAGTAATGTTTTTTTTTTTTTTCCTTTTCCCGTCTTCACGTAATAATAATAATAATGATAATAAAAAATAATAATAATACAAATACAGCAGAACAGTCTAAGCCATTAATCTCTTTGACTAAAAATCTTTTCACTGCTAACTTGCTTTTAAAAAAATAGTCTGGATAGCTGATTCATTCAAGTGTAATTTCATTTAGTGGTGACAGATTTGGACTATTCATTGCATGAGAACAAAATGTGGGCAGAGCTATATTCATGCTGTAACCCCAATCCATTCAAGTTTACAACACACTGGCTGGAAATCCCCACCTCATGACAGAGCTTCCTGGTTACTGGCTAATGGAGGCGCCTTTTTCTTTCTGTCTTTTCTTTCTTTTTTCTTTTTTTTCTTTTTTTATATAAACATGCCAGGAAAATATTATCTAACCCTTACTGAGAGCTTGGGTCAGTACATTCTGAATTCATGCTGACACAAAAAAAAAGAGCAGTGGAGGAAAAATGTGGGCTGTAAAATCCTTCTATTAATCCTAAAATATGCCCTATAAATGCTGCCCTTGTGCTGCTGCTGCTGTAATAATAATAAAATAGGATTCAACTTTATTGCAATTGCACAGACAACCAAAATGCATGTAAACAGAGGTGTGCGGTATAAACAGTGCATGCAAGATGCATAAATGTGCACGAGAACGAACGCTGCTGCACATATTTTTTTTTGAGCTTCTGTTCACTATATATTCTAATAAGTACCATCGGATTGTTGTTCTTAGGGTAGACCCACCTCATTCATTGCACAGCGGTAGTAGTAGCAGCAGCTCGTTGCGTCGCGGCTCTGTGCATTGAGAAAAACAAGCTGCAGCGCGTTTTTCAGCCTGAATTTAGGACAAAGCAGCAGCAAGAAGAAGCAGCAGCCAACCGGAGGAAAGTTTTTTTTTTTTTTTTTTTTCCCCCATCGCATAAAAAAATGGTGATATTTCAGATTTGGTAATAGCGGTGGTGATAACACTAATAATATTAATAATAATAAGGCGGAGGTGTGGGTTATTCCCTTCGAGTCGGAGGCGGTGTTGGTGTGAGCTGTTTTTTTTTTT